TTAGACAAAAGTTTGTAAATGAAATCCATGCATTTTTTAACGCATTTAAAGATACCTGAATCATAAATGATGTAAAGTGGCTTTACAAAGCTTAACACCACCTGAAATAAGTATATTAAATATTTTATACATATTCTATGTATTTTATATATATTTTTAAATATTTTGCACACATTTTAAAATGTTGTTTCCTGTGATGAAACATTTTATTTAATGCAGCTTCAAGTATTTGGAGTCTTTCCTTATAGTGTGTGTACTCTATATTATCTTGGCTTTATCTACTATTTGTCTTATGCTGAGTTGTATTTTTGTTGTTTATGATACAATGATTGATATGTGCCCAAATTGCACTAAAAGCTTTGATAAGTGACAAACTGACATATTTGAGAGAATCGGGTGCACATGTGACCAATGTAAGAATTTAATGTTGTTTTATGGTTATTAGTATTAAACAAGGAACCTATCAAAGGGTACAACAATTCATGAACAACATTGTTTTTGCTGAGGTGGGTTTTTTTTTTTTGGTATTTTTCAGAAACACAATAAAAATATGAACTTTAGACAGTTTATCCACAATTTTGATCAGAACGTCCAACAACTTCAAAATTGGAAAAACGATAAAAGCTTAAATGGACAGAATTCATTGGTTGAATGTAATACAACTTTTTAAAATAAATTCTGGCTGTCTATGCACACTTTTAAAATTCTTGAATTGACCAAAAAGTCATTCCACACTACACAAAAAAATAATATTTGACCAGATTTTATATTTGTTCTTGTTTCGAGAAAGAGCTTCTTAGTCAGGCTGGAAACTTTTCAGTAGACTCTACTATGTGTGAATAAATAAAAAGGTTTTACTAAAACCATAGACAAGGTTTTTTTTTTAAATTCCTTAGTCATTTTCTAATTATTTTTTTTTGTCCAAATAAATGGATGCTCTGTTCCAATATCTGTAAATACATATATATTTTTGTCAACTATTATTATTTTCAAGAATAACTGGAATTTTTGTTATGTTTTTGAAATACAAGAAAATTTTGGTGTATTTGTTTTGTTTTTCTTTTTTCAGCATGCCTTTTGATTGTTAGAATGTTTGGCATTTAAATTATGTTGCTGACATTATTTGCAGGCCATTGACAACACATAAAAAACACTATTTATAAATTATTTACACTTTGCCTTTTTTTAAATTAATTATTGAATCTATAAGTGCGTTCTTTAAGCTGAAAGATATTTTTGGTAATGCAAGGTTTTGTTTTTGACAAGTCTATTTTACTGCAATCAAATGCACCAGGTCTATAAACAACACACACACACACACACACACACACACACACACACACACACATTTTGTTAAATTCAACCAACAAGCTCTGTGTATGTTTTGTATTTTTCCAATTTTTAAACAAGATGTACATCTCAATCAAAACTGGGAATAAACTGTCCAAAGTGCTTGTTTAGTTCTGTTTTATTCCAGTACTTTCAACAGTGTCTCATATCTAAGTTCCACTCTAAGAAATGACAGGATGTAGCCAACAAAATCTAATTTAACAAAACTTGTTTGGATGAATTCTTGCTGCCTCTCCAGATAAGTTTATTAAATTCAACTAACAAGGTCTGTCTGTCTGTTTAAACTTTTTATTGCAATTTTCCAACAAGATGTATATCAAGATTGAAATTGTGGATAAACTGACTAAAATTCAACTTTGTTCTGTTTTGTTCAAGCACTTTCGATCTACTCCGTCATTATCAAGAACCATGTAGTAAGCAAGATTCTGTTGGCTACACCCTACCATTTTTGATAGAGATGAAACTTTGAATCAGTCCAAAGTTACATCATGTGTAATGGTTAAAGTAATTGAGACCACACTAGAAAAGCATGTATCAAATATTACTTTGTAGACATATTAAATTTTGTACACTGTCATCTGTGATGAAAGATTTTATTTCATATGAGTTATTTTGTATAGTAATAACTTCAAGGATTTTCAGTTTTTCCTTATAATGGTTGCTGTATAGTATTTTGGTATGATTCCCTCACATTTGTCTTATGCTGCATTTCCATTGTCATGTAATGGAAAATATGTGCCTTAATTTATTCAACAAGTCAACCTACAAGGTGGGAAATAATGTTGTTTATGAATTCTCATATCATTTGGAAGACTGTCTCTCCAATACCAACAATCAAAAAACAACATTAAATTCATACATTAGCCACATATTCACCACATTCTCTTGTAGATTAACTTGTCAAAATCTAGTACAATCCATGCACATATTGATCTTCACATCAGGAACAACTAAAATGCAACTATTGAAATAAGATAAATATAATTAGATAGTACCAAAAGACTATAGATCAACCTATGCAAGTAACGACTCAAAATCTTAGAAGCTATTACTATATAAAATTAAACAGCCTACGTTAAATAAAATTTTTCACCATGAGATAATATATCTTGAAGCGTGTAGAAATTGTTTAATATGTGGACAAAATAATAATAGTATTTGGTGTATGTTTTTCTGGTGTAGTCTCATTTGCTTTATCCACTACAGAGGATGTAACTGATTCAAACTTTCATCTTTTTAAAATATACCATGCTATGGCTAATGGAATCTTGCCTACCACACAAACAGTGCATGGTTCTTGATAATGACTGAGATATTCAAAAGTACGTGAACAAAGCAAACAAATACAAACTTTGGACAATTCTGATCCCGATATACATTTTTTCCAAAGTTGGAAAATTACAATAAAAAAAAAAAAAAAAAATCAAACAGACACATCTGGTCAGTCGTATTTAATAAAACTTGTTTTGATGAATGTTGGCTGCCTAATTATACACATGCACACACTGAAGTTAACTAAGCAAAAAAAATGTTGACAGGAAAAGGGGCTTACCTAAGTGCTCACTTACCCACTTTTTCTGTCAACTATTATGACAAGCCAGTAACAAGACCCCTTTTTGTCAGGTTACCTGGCAAAAACAATAGCTTCCAAAGGCATTAGTTTGAACATAAATTCAGCCTGAATTTGAACTCTGTAGATTGTTTATACTTGGTGTACATCTATGTATAAAGTTTAGTCTGGCACAAGGCCAGATATAGGGCACCCAGTGAGAATTGAACTCATTACACACTAGTAAACAGTCTGCTTGACTAGCTTGGTAACCATTTTCTCATGGTAAATCACCTCATATCTACATATGTATATCATTTCTTTCTGACAACTGCACACAGCAATATATATTACACACATATACAAATTGTAAACCTAAACAGGAATATTTACATATGTACATAAACAACCATTTAAATATTAGCTAATTACATTTATTTTTTGTTCTTGGAGACGTTTGTGTTTCTCTTTATGAAAATTAGATACAGAGGCAAAATTACTTTTGGCCACTGATAATGGCACGTCTTTGCCAGTCAAATAAATTTTGTTGCGCCAAACTGATAACTGACCACCTGTGATTTTCAGTTCCTCCTTCACTTGAGCCCCGCTTATTTCAGCAATAGCCGTTGCAAAGATGTAGCCAGTCATAAAGGCGTCAAACCCAGCTGTGTGACCAGCATTGATGCTTCTTGATATATTCTGCTGAACACCCACTTCCGAGACCCCACTGAGCATTTTGACACTTTCACTAATAGTCACAGTTTTTGATTCTATATCTTCATTGGCCAATATAGAATCTTTCGAGCCATTATCATCATCCTCATAAGAGCTGACAACAGAACAAGATTCCTCTTGGATCTCTGGAGATTGGTCAGTATTTTCTTCATTGTGTTCACTTAGGTCAGCAGGAATGTCTCCAGTTTCATTGTTTGCGGTCCGACATGTTTTGGACTTTTCTTCTACTTTGCTAGCCTTCTGTTCTTCCCGTTTCCTTTTGCGGTCTTTTCTCTTCTGTGTTTTGGATGGTCTTGATTCATCAAGGTCAAGCACTAATTCCATGTTGTGACTCTTTGGACAATTGCGGCCTTTGTGACAATAACCATGATCCTGTCACAAAAAATTAAAAATAACAATAAAATTAACAAGCTGAAAAATTAATTTGATTACAAAAAAGGTGGCAATTCATTTGAAATCAAAAAAGATTCTGAAGAGAAAAGCATTATCTTTTTTCATTCAGGATTGAATTTTTTTTCTCTATAAATTTCATGGAATTTTCTTTTTTTTTTTTTCCAGACAAAAATATATTAACATTGGGATAAGAATCAAAAAGCTGATGGTATTATAGCTGCAAGGGTGATCAAAGAAAAAGAAACAAAGATCATCTTGAGGTTATGCTCCTAAAATTTCAGATTCATCAGTTTGTAAAAGAGTTACTTGAACTGGTCAAGCAGGAAACAAATTTGTCATGACAGAATGAAGAATTTTGAATTCAAATAAAGATCAAATGCAGAAGCCATATGGGAATTCATGCTAACAACACAAAGGATTTTCAGAGAAAAAACATTGCAGAGGCCTTCTTTTTAAGAAAAACTAATGTAGCTATAAAGATATTTTCAATGGCTATTTTTTGAACAATTCCATTGGGTACCATATTGCAAAGTAACTGACTTGTGGCCTTATACTAGATCAAGGTGGGTGCTGGGTGCAAAGAGCAAGTCAGGAAGTCAGTAGATCACTACTACTATAATTAGTTAGATCTACATTAAGTGCTCTTTTTTTATGGCCTTGTACCAATTTCAGCTAAATTTAGAAAATATGATATCTGACAACATAGCAGTAGTTATCAAGTTAATCTAATAGCCCACCATTAATACTGTGTAATGAATTTGATCCTCACTAGATGGCCTATACAAGTAGCCTTGTGTCAAACTTATTAAATAGCTACTATGATCCTGATCATTTGTCATGCACCATTGCACCCATCTTTCCTTGCATTCATTACAAAATCCAATTCCAAATTTGCCAATTATTTAACCATCTCTGTCCTTGCCTACATCGGCATTCAGGTTTCCCATAATGATTATAATTTCTTGCAAATTGCATTGAATTTTGGCATTATCTAGCGGAGAGTAAAATTTTTCAATTTCTTCTGCACATTGTGCTACCAGTGCATAAACAACTATGATGGATATGTTGAAAGAATTTCCTTTCAGTTTAATGACAAGAATTCATTCAGATAGTTGACAATATCCAATAACACAATTCTTCATGTCCTCATCTAGTATCAGTCCTACTCCTCTTTCATTTTTCTTTCTATCGGCATATACGATCCTGTTTTTTTGAGAACCTTACTGACTTTTGGCATTGGATGGAAATGAGTAACTAATTCAACCATTATATAAGATCATAGTTCTTCTATTATATGTAGTGTCCCTTCAGGACATTGGCAATCATAGCTCTCCATAATTTCCTGTCCTTTTTAGCTCTTAAGATATAGTGATACAAGACTTACTATTTAAACTATAGCTGGAGGAGAAGAGGTGAATTCATACCCAATTGTATTTGTGCATAAGTGAATTTATATTTATATTTCACAAACCCAAATGGAATTGGAGCTTGGCTCTCCAATTAATAATTCCAAGCCATTATCTATTACACACAAACAAGCTTACAGCACCTGGTCTTTTTAATTGTAAAACATTCAGGAATTTTAAGAGGAATCATTATAATTTCAGCAATTGTTCTGATACGCAATTCCCTTTATTAGTTTGGCAATTACCTAACATTTCAGCTAATCTACATTTTTCTTCAGGTGAACAATCTATATGGAAATATAGGAGGGAAGTCTTTGATTTAACTCCAGTTTGGAGTGCAACAAATTTCAAAACATAAGCACAAAATTCTCTGAATTTAAAATGCCATAAAAGAAGCACCCATCAATAAAATATGACCTCATTTAAAGAGACTTGGAAGAAAAACTAATTATCATACAAGAGAAAGAATTGTATCTTCATAAAGATAAAACATTAAATTTTCTTTCCATCTTAATTTTATAAAAATAACTTTAAAATATTCAAGATATTTGCCAGTTGAACTTGAAGGAAGTTTCACTATTTTGACCCATTTTTGCAGTGTATACTAGGATGGTTTAGGATACCAACTTTGAATACAGAAAACTAGAAAATGGTGCTAACAAAAAAAAAAAAAAAAAAAAAAAGGATGAGATCAGTAATCCAAAAATTGTTTAGAATGATAATAAAATCTGAAACATTGTAAAAAAGTTATCTACAAATCTTTTGAGTTTGAAAAGTTATGGGAACAACAAGAGAAGCAAAATTAAAAAATTAAAGCAATTTCAAAAAGTATACAAATTGACTTTGAGATTTGAAATTTTCCCCAACTTAACAGGAATTATAGATTTTAATGACATATTTCATTTATTGTCATCCATAAAGACAGTCTTCTGTTGGCAATTCGAGTGTGAAATCATTGATCGAAGGGACATAATTGCTACAAAGAAGAAAATGATAACATTTAAAAGCATAAATCATTTTGTAATAAATCTTCATGTAGATTATAAGAGAACACCCACTTAGTATTTATAGAAAAGAGTTTGGGAAACATAGATAAATGTTCCCACAATAAAATACTGTGTCAAAAGTATATTTTTCCTACTACACTGCTTTTTTAACTACCTTCATTTTTCAGCAATGTTTATTGTTTAAAAAGCAGTGATTAGAATTGGAATAAAACCTAAACACATGTGGAAAGTGAATTTATACATTTTTTTGGTAATTGAAAATTTACAAAAAATATATGAAACTATTTATTAGATTGTTTATTTACAAGAATAATTTTATATTTACAGCATTCTAAAAATAATACAATTAGAACTAATGCAATGCAATATTTATAAAGAAATAAATATGAAAAAAAATTATGCATAAATTTATAAATATCTATTAAATTATTTAAAAATGGGAAGCAACTATAAGTAAATCCTTATTATTTACGATTTTATAAAGTTTGAATCAAATGGCAATTTGCCAACCATTCCAATAAACAATATAATAAATAGTGTAAATAAACAATCTATAAAATAATGTTTATTATTTTATAAATTCTCAACAAAGAAAAAGTATAAATTCAGAACTTTTAAAAAGTTGCTGAAAGGTGAAGGTACTTAAAAAAAGTGGTGTCATGAGAAAAACGCTCCTTTTGACTCTCCATCTTATTGCAGGCATGTTTGAATATATTTGCCAAAAGTTTATGATATTAAATAAAGTAAATATTCTTTGCTTCTTGTTTTTTTAAAAAGGTTTACATTCTTTTCTGCTGTATAATGATCATTTTCTTTTTAATTGCTTAAAATAAAATCAAACATGCATGAGCTAATCCAATGGCCTCTGTTCAGTAGAATAAAAAAAAAACACACATTATATAGCAGAGAATATGGCAAATTATTATTGTTATTATTTTACTTACAGCAAATCGTTGACAAACAAGAGCTTGCAGCTGTTGGTAAGTCAGAGATGTTGAAAGTGTACGGCAGCCCAGATCATGATATTTGACATACGCAAAACTCTGTGGGTAATCAAGAAAGGAGAGCAACAAATGGTTTTTGGAGACACTTTTCATTGCTTTCCTAAAGCTACAAATAAAAATATAAAACAATTAAAATAAGAAATAATTTTATGGCAAGAAGAAAAACAAAAAAGAAAAGTCAATAATTTTTCTTTCAATATAAAAAAAATGCAATTGACTTGAGTCTATGTAAAAGAAAATCAAATGTTTCCATAAAGCAAAGAAATATTAGAATCCTTTTTTATACAGCTAGCAAGCAAATAATTAAATCTATCAATTTTTTAATATAAAACTTCCTGATGGAGAAATAGATTTTCAATTAGAAGTTCACACACCTCCCTGATCTTTTGAACTGGAGTAGAGGTTTATCCCTTGTTTCCTGTTTAGGATTGGGTTTCCAGTTCTTTTTCACTTCCAGTCACCCCTTGTGTCTTGGTGGCATTATCACCTACTCAGAGTGGTGCCTCTTATTCAGTAACTTTATCTCGAGTGGCTCTCGAGCCTTGTACAAACTGAACATCGTTGTAAAAAAAAAGTAAAAAAAGTAAGGCAGTAAGTGAAAAGATTCCAAAGAGGCACGAAATCATTATATAAAGCAAATAGTCTACAAGAGTAGGCTACTAACCTTTGCTCTAAGCCATGTGCCCATAATATCCTTCATTTATAGAATGATTGAAATGATATGATTATATGAGGATTTTTCATGTGGATGAAGAATCATTTCAAATTTTTAATCCAAGATAAAAATGTTTTAGCATGTCCACAGCAGCTAGAAAAACCTTAGCATGTCCACAACAGCTAGAAAAACCTTAGCACGTCCACGGCAGCTAGAAAAACCTTACCACGTCCACGGCAGCTAGAAAAACCTTAGCAAGTCTACGGCAACTAGAAAAACCTTAGCAAGTCTACGGCAACTAGAAAAACCTTAGCAAGTCTACGGCAACTAGAAAAACCTTAGCAAGTCTACGGCAGCTAGAAAAACCTTAGCAAGTCTACGGCAGCTAGAAAAGCCTGAACACGTCTATGGCAGCATCTGGAGAAACCTTAGTGTCTGTTGTTTCTTTATGTGATTAATAAAAAGCAGCAGATATTTCTTCCATGTTAATTTCAGTTGCATAAATATTACAACTACTCAATCCATCAATCTAAAGCCATTAATAAATGGAGCAGATGAGAAATATTTACAAGACAATATTACTACCGTTACTAATAATGAGACAAATGTATGTGTAAAAACACAATTTCAAAGCATCAGGGAAGATTGAAGAATAAATTTAAATGATTAGATTTGCTCTTCTGCTAACATAAAAGCTTTTTTAGCTCAAATGAAAGATCAGCCAATAGAGAAACAAAAAGTGGGGGGGGGGCTTCCTAAGGTAAAGGGAATGTAAATTCAAATTATGATAAAACTTATTTTTGATCCATACGGTTTCATAATGGCTTTAAAATAACAGCTTAAAAGAGTTAGAATTCTAAGCCTCAAAAAAGAAAATGAAAGAAGTACTAGCCAAAAATTAATAATGGTTGATAATCCTTTAACTAAAAAATTTAAAAAAATATTTACTGTTTGTTTATTAATGGCTGCAGACTGAATTATTTCTGTTTGAATTTCTGGGATGTGGATTGTTATAGTTATTGAAACTATTTATGTGAGGACTATTGTCCTCATCTTGTTATTGAAGATAGGAGATCACAATGTCTGAAATATTGTGATAACAACAACAAAGATGAGGACAATAGTCCATATGTAAATAGTGTAAATACTGTTTGAACAGTCATGATAAAAATTAACAAAATAATGGTTGACAAAGAATCATTTAATAAAAATTAAAAATATTACTACTAATAATATTACTAGTGTTAAAAAATTTAAATTAAGATGAAGAAAATGCTAATAAAATATTAACAAGTGACAATGCTTCTTCTAATAAAATATTTTGATATTACTGAATATTATTAGTGTTAATAAAGCAAGTGAAATTAAAATGTTTTGTGTGCAAATCCAGTTGCTCAATAAAAATCTAGACACAGGCACACGGCTTTTCAGCTCATTCCTATGAGGTTACTGCAATGCAAAGACCAATGGCAAAAGAGCAACAATGCCTTATAGCTGGAAGGAAGACTAGCAGTGATTTTTTTTTAAACAAAATACTAGATAAAAATTAATAACAGTTAACAAGGCTTTATCCAATTAAAATTTAAAATAAAAGCAGAAAATATTTAAAATTTTCTCTTTGCAAAAGTAAAACTTTCATAATTTTTATTCTATCCAAATTGAGAAGATACAAAGCATTAACTCATTAATACCCATTGTAAAACCTCATATAAAAAAGTCCTGGGTATGACAATAAACTACATCTGGCAGCAAGGCCTGTGATCAGGAGGTTTTGAGGAGTGTGGAACCACATCTTCATTGCTGTTGTTCCCAGGTACACCCTGACCTGGGATGATAGCACCTGTTAAGGTCGCAGCTATGAGCAAATAGTGAACCTCCAAACTGGGGTCAAAACACTATGAACATTGAGAAATACATTTTTATAGTGAAGGTGCCAGTAAGACATTTTCATAGTTAAAAAAAAAAAATTACCAGCAATATGTCTTTGTAAGGAATAAAAAAAATATTACCAGCAATACATTTTTGTAAAAGAAATTACTAATGCTCCCAAGAAAGTTGATATGCCACTATACAAACAAAAATCCCATATTAATTACTGGAATTAAAATAAAAATTTGGAAATAATTATAGATTTATAAAAAAAACCCTAGAACAGTCTACTCCAGTGAGCAAAATAATGGGTTGAGTTTGACATTCCAACTACCTGATGATGGCCGGAGTGTACAACAGCCGAAATGTTGTAATAAATATGGCGACAAAGATGAGGACAATAGTCCAAATAATGTAAATCGTGTAAAAAAAACCCTACTTTCTATCAATAACTGTAAACATACCCTAGGACCCTTTTTCAGGCTTTCAATGACTGGAGAAATCATCACACTTTGAAAAATTAGGAAAGACCCCCATGTACATTCACAAAGAGAATGAAAGGTGAAAATATCGCCATGGCAAGACAGGAAAAGGCTGATGACAATTATTCAGGGGTACCTGCTATACAGTCCTGGTCTGGGGGTAGTTAGGTAGGTAGGTAGGTAGGTAGGTAGGTAGGTAGGTAGATGACTCTTGAGACATTTTCTGTAAATTCTGTCCTAAGAAAAACTGATGGACCACATCTACCCATCTCTACATCAAGGTGTACCATGCCACACCTTTCTGCTGGGTGGCTAGGACTCTTTCTTGACAGATACCCACCAACAAGCAGCATCAGAACTACAGTAATACCTTGAGATACGAGTTTAATCCGTTCTGTAACCAAGCTCATATGTCAATCAGCTCATATATCAAAAAAAATTTTCCCATTTAAAACAACTGAAATAGATTTAATCCATTCCAACCCTGTAAAATATCCCTAAACCACCCTAAATTATGAAAAAGTCATGTTTTTAATTAAAAGACATATGTATACTTTACCAATGCTTAACATAAATATGAAATAAAAGAAAAAAAGTGTTATTTAGTACAGTATTCTTACCTTAGAGACAGACATATGCATCTAACAGCGATGAATGGCAAAGAGGAGGAAGGAGGTGATGCAGACAAAAACTTCACTTTCTTAATAAACAAACTAAAAGGTCACTTTCTTACCATTAGATAAACTAAAATTGCACTTTCTTAAACTAAACCTAAACTTAACATTACATATTTTATAAGTTTCTCATTTAATCATCACTTGCTTTTACCTTTTTGGCTAGACTTTTGGCAATTTCACTTGCAGACATTTTGAATAAAAACCTATCCAAAGAGGTTTGCTGGCTTTTTAAAATGTTACAGAAATGCAACAAACCAGTGTCATTATAAAGTGCTGCAGCATGACCAGTTGAAGCTTTTTCTGGGTGTTTCTTTTCAATGAAACTTGAAAGCTTCTCCCACATTGCTAGCATTTCTTTAATTTTACTTGTAGAAATCACTACCTCCACCTCTACCTCCTCCTCACTACTGATCTCTTGCAGAACCTTCATATACTGCATCGTCTGTAGCTCCTTCACCTCTTCAGTTGATAGTTCCTCCTCATGTTCCTCAATGAGCTTGTTTATGTCACCATCATCTACCTCCAGACCCATCAACTTTCCAAAGAACACAATCTCTTCCACTGTTTCTGCCTCAAGTCAAGGTGTGAGTTTGAATCCTTCAAAGTCTCTGGGTGCATAATGTTTTCCATGCCGAGTTCAAGGTTCTTCTTGTAACCTCTCGCCATGACAAGACAATGATGTTCAAGTATTTCACGATGTTTAAATGATCTTTCCAAAACTCTGAAAGGGTAAAATTGGTATTTTCTGTAACCTCAAAACAGCAGTGGAACAAGTGCTTTGTGTAAAGATTTTTAAAGTTGGAAATGGCCTGTTGATCCATTGGTGGTAAAATTGAAGTCGTGTTGGGTAGGAGCTAGAAAACTTTTACGAACTTGAACTCGTCAAGGATGTCATCTTGAAGACCAGGTTGGTGGGGGGGGGGTTATCTGGAGCATTATCAAGGACTAGTAATGCTTTCAGTGGGAGTTTATTTTCTAAAAGATATTTCTTCACTGCAGGACCAAAGATGATATTTACCTATTCAACAAAAAACTAACGTGTAACCTATGCCCTAGGATTGGAGCACCACATAACCTGCAGTTTTTCTTTAAGTATCTTGTGAGTCTTAAAGGCTCAAGGATTATCAGAATGGTACACTAGTAGTGGCTTTACTTTAGTCACCACTAGCATTTGCATACAATGCAAGGTTCAGATGGTCCTTCATGGTCTTCTGCTGTGATGAAAGTCCTCTGAGGCATTTTCTTCCAAAAACAAGCCTGTTTCATCACAGTTGAACACCTGTTGGGTGATGTACTCTTCCTTTGCAACAAATGCAGCAAAATGTGTGAACTCCTCACCTGCTTTAATGGTAGCATTTGCAGCTTCACTATGCCGCACCACCAAGTGGATGCCAGTTTTCTTCTTGAAATTTTCAAACTGGCCATGACTTGCCTTAAAGGTATCTTCTGCTGCCTTTTTCAATGTTGATGGTACTTTCTCCTTCAAGTCGCCATAAATAACATGCACCTTTTCACATGTTGCAGTTTCCTGCAATGCATCTCCTGTGAGCTCTTTCTCCTTCACCCACACTAGCAGAAGATTCTTCATTTCTTCATGGATATTTGTCCTTAACTGCAACAGAATTGTAGTTCCTTTTGCTGTTGTATTATCTATAGCGTTCTTTTGTATAAGAGTCATACAAATTGTAGATGTACTGCGCTCATACCACCTTTGCCAGTTCAATCACCAGTACACTACTTTCATGTTTTTTTATTAGTTCTTGCTTTACTTCTACTGACATCATTCTCTTTTTCTTCTCACCACTGTTCTTTACACTCACTTTCTTTGCACTCATGATGGTACATAAAAAATTACTGTAAAAATGATGCACAAACACAGACAATGAACGAGATATGTCTTTACCGAGAAAGAACAAGAAGCTTGTTGTACTGATGCTTTACCTGTGTGCCAACTAATATCTCAGAAATTAACTCACAAGTCAGTCAAAAAATGGCCCAAGCCACCACTCATATCTCAAAAATCTCATATGTTAAGCAACTCTATCTCAATGTATCACTGTATTCTCAATTCTAATGTTGACAGCTTCCTGCAATTTGAACTTTCTAACTTCTGGCCATTTGACACTTGTTCCAAAATGTTTTCATTTATTTATATATTTTGATTCTCTTTTAGTCAAGTGGACGGCCACTTTAAAGATCCTACTTTGCAGACTTTGCTGCAAGGCAAAAAAACAAAACAAAAAACAACCTAATACTTCAGACTCAGATAAAAATATTTACCAGTCACTTCCGTGTCTTGTTCTAATTATGTAGGAGACCCATCATGGATAATATGGATCTATTAATGCCCACTGTCCCATTTTGGGGTTGGTGGGCATCAATGGTTTAACACAATAACCTCCTTCATCTGTTGACCTGCTTGGTGCCTCAGAAGTATTTTCTTAATGGCCCAAATGGGAGTTCATGTCCAAGTCAAGATTCTGAATGCTAATTTTCAAGATAGGCAGTTCCTCTTCACTCGGTTTGGCACAAGTCAATTTTTCCCATTTAAAATAACTGAAATAGATTTAATCCATTCCAACCCTGTAAAATATCCCTAAACCACCATAAATTATGAAAAAGACATGTTTTTAATTAAAAGACAAGTCAATATTCCCACCCCAGCCTCAATTTGGATCAGTGCCATACTAAAGACTATCTCTGTCCCACAATATGAATTTCATACATTAAATGTAACAATTACTCGGGTAGGGAAAAAAAAGTAGCACATATCTTAACCCTGTTTTTTTTTTCTGGGTGCATATTTTCACATCGGCATCAGTAATCTACATTTATACCCAAGTAAGAAGTTTTTCTGCCCACTCTGTACCTGCCATTTGCACCTGTCCCAGGCTAAATTGAATAAATATAATGATATCAGGTGTCTTCTGTCAAATCAGATTCACTAACAGAGGTGAATAGATTAAGTAGAGAAATACATTTGAGATATGACCAAAAAGTCTGCATAATGATCACAACAATGACAATTGCTTGAAAGGCATTCTTTCAATTTGTGTCAAAAGAAATAGTCAAATAGAGAAAAACAAGAACAATTTGTGTTTACAGATTAAGAATGTAAATGAAGAAAATACATAAACATTCCCTCAATAAGATAAAAAGGAAACTGACCATTTTTTGAAGACATATTCCAGGTAACTAGCCGGCATCCTCATGTAATATTCTATAAGGAATTTGGTATCATAAATTCCTGCAGTAAACATTTCAGATAAATTGCAGAGAAATGAATTTAGTTTGAATGGCAAATCACAATAAAGATTTTGGTGGAGAAAGATGAGATCCACGATGGCATTATGAAATACGACTGGAACATTGGCTGTCAGTAGTTCAGAAAAGAGATCTCGTACAGAAGGATGATTAATCTCAGAATGGTTCTGTAAGTGAAGAATAAATAAAAATACATAAATATTACTGAAAATTTGGCTTCTTCAATTAAACATAATTGTTAAATCCAAAAGGTAGCAACAAAAGTTTGAAATCTGAAAAAAAAAAGGCAAAATAATAAAATACCAAGAAAAGTTTTTAGCTGATTGTTTGGAACAAATGTCAGGATTACATAAAAGACATTAATTAGAGAGAATTTTGTTTTTTAATTTTTTAATCATCACTAACATGAAATAATCAATTCTGACACTGGAAATCGAACTTACTTTCTACACAATGTGAAGTTGAGCAAAGACATTCAGAAAAAGAGTAAAAAGCAAACAAATTTCAAATTTGGGCTTTTTTTTTTATATATATATATATATATATATATATATATATAAAGGGTTGCTCTGAAAGTAATGCCTCCATTTCCGTAGAAACTACAACAAAAGAGTATAACACTTTTAGAGCAACTACAAAAGATTATTTTTCTATATAGTTACCACCATTAGTTACAGTTGTATTACACATTTTGCACACTGACAACTGTTTGTTTCACCATAAATGTTCAATTAGTGTTCACGAATCTTAATAGGTGCAATTTTTCCCAAATGGAAAAATTCAATGACAAATTTTAAATTCATAAGCACTTTCATGCCAGACACTATTTTGGCAGGCTACTGCTCAACTGCTATCTGCAACAAGGCAAAAAGAGTATGGAAGGTTCATTGCCATACCACTGACATCTCCCACTGATGTTGCAGTCCAACATAAGCATTACTTTTGGAGTGACCTGTGCCTGCATGTGTATTATTTTTGTATATATTATTTTTCTTAAGTATAAAAGTGATCAATTTTAAATGCTTCCTAAAGAGTATTTTGGAGCACATAAAAATAACATTTTTTATTTAGTTACCCATTTATAGCCTGTTTCATGCATAGCAATTTTTCAAAATGGCTGCTTATCATGGATGCTCCCTGGATGTATTATTCTTTTCATTATTAACAGGCACCCATTTTGAAAAATTACTTGTTGCAGTCTGTAAATAGGTTACTCAACAAAAAAAGGATATTTTTATGAATATGCATCTCTCTCTCTCTCTCTCTCATATATATATATATATATATATATATATATATATCAAAATAAAAAAGAAAGAACATTCAGATTTATGATTCACAGTACTTTAGCATTTATTTTTAAAACCAGTGCTTGATACACAGTAGGGCATAATATTATAATATTATTATTTAAAAATACGTATTCATCGCAACATGGTTTTGGAACTAAAACTAAACTTAAAATTAAAGCAACATTGAATAATTTTTGAAAGAAATGATTTACTTTTTTAACCTAAATAGTATTATATAGTTTAAGTTAAAGAGGGGAAGTGATTGCAAAATTTTAAAAGGGTGTTGCCTTTTTTGGCAAATCAGGATGCAAGTCTAATTTAATATGACAAAGTGTAGATATAGGTTATGGGTTAGGTGTGGGTTTGTAATTTCTGCCCATTGAAACTGGCTTCCTTATATGAGGACGTGTCACTTTGTCTGTTTTTTATTTTTATTTAGGCGCATACATAAGATACACTACAATACATTGGCATTTTTATTTATATTTTTTATAAAATACTTTGGGATTTTCTTAAAGGAGTGTAAAATATGACTAAGTCATATTGTATATATTTACATTTTTATTTATAAAGATCTAAAATACTATATTTATTAGTATACTAGATACGGTATTGTTAAAATTAAAATTTTAAATTTTGGAATTTAATTACGCATTTTCTTACTTTTTTATTTGTGATCAAGTAATAGATATATAATTATGAAATTTTTTTTTAATTAATTATGTTTTAAAATAAACATAATGTAATGTCTAAAAAAAAAAAACATTTCTTTTCTTTGATTTAATAAATCTTTATTTTTCAGAAACTTAATAATATATAACTTTTCATGTAGGCACAAAGGACATGGGTAGTTTCCCTGTTACTGATGGTTTCAGTTACAAATTCTTATGTTCAGAAATAAACAAGTTTTACTTAATAATGTTGCCAAAGTACAAAAGTAGTAATGGTGGCAATTTACAAAAGAAAAACCATAAAGTGCTTCCCTTAAGTGAAAAGTTTAAAATTCTGGACTTAAGAAAGAAAAAATTTTATACCAAGAGTGCAAAGATCTATGGTATGAATAAATATCCTGTCAGAAACTTTTATTGCTTTTTATTGCAAAAACTTTTATCTATTACTATAATCGGTCTGTTTTATTATTAGTCATTGTTATTAATCTCTTATTGTCTTCTTTTCTGTTCACCTGATACAAGGCTCAAGATCCACTCAATATAGAAGGTTTTACTAAATGAGGATGTTGTATGGACATGGGAAGGGGAAGATTATGAAGATACATAAATGTAACATTTGACCTGAGACTTGAAGAGGTTAAGATTATAGTGTTTGGGGAGGTACCCTCTTGGGAGTTTGTGCCACAAATCAGCAGCTCTTTGGAAGCAGTTGTCCAAATGGAACTTCCTTCTTACCAGTGGAATATGAATGGATCGAAGATGGTCTGCCTATGTGTATATGACAAGGTAGGACTTAACTGTAAATGTCTAAACTAACACTGCTCAGCTCACTGTCCCAAATATTTTGTGGGGGAGCTGGTAGATATCTTATTTCTTCATACCCAGTCATCCTGGGGTTTGCACAGACTCTGTTCTGGCAAGGCAGCCATTTGCTCTCTTTTGACAGACAGCACACTAGCAGTTGACTCTTTAATCAATTTGGGTAGGTACAGTTATCAGTGGTGGTAGGCAGCTCAATCTGCATTTCAATTCTGCTACAAATATTGTCCCCTTAGGGACTGAACTTATACACACACACACGCACACACACACACACACACACACGTATCACCCACATAATCCCTCACTTGTAATGTCTTTTGCATGCTTACCAGTGTATTTTCTCTCTTTTTACTCCATATCTAAATCCAGGGATTTCTTACACCTGTTGGAGGAAACCTTCCCTGACTGACTATGTCTTTCTCATTAATATTGGAAGAACATTTCCCTGCTTAGCCATATCTTTCTCACTCCTGTTGGAGGAAACCTTCCCTGATTGACCATGTCTTTCTCACTCCTGTTAGAGGAATCCCTCCATGATTGACCATGTCTTTCTCACTCCTGTTGGAGGAACCCCTCCCTGATTGACCATGTCTTCAATAGTGCAGCTGTACTCACCATGCTAAGCCAATTGCGAGTTGGTGAGGCTATTTAACCTATAGTTGGAGGTTTTGAATTCAAAGTTGTCCTTCTCCTAGACCGGTTGCCACCCAAGGCTATAGGACCCAGTCTTTCCTGACATTTATCCAGAGCACTCATTTTTACTCAGTTATATAAAAACAAAAATTATAAATATCACTTTATTCACTCAGTTTTCTTGTGCTCGTCATTAACATGTGAAAATATTGGTTGCCATTGCTTTTACCCTAACTAGGGGCTGGGCCCACTCTCAACACATTTCACAGATCATTGCTTCATCAGCACAAAAGGACTCAAAATGATACTTACTTTATCGTTTCCTCGCTGATACAAAATACCCTTTGAATATTGTTTGTTGAAGTCAAATCCATGGTCAACAAGGAACTGCATAGACCTTGGCTCTACTGTATAATCATCTTGGCACAGGACAGTGATGTTGAAGGTCTGCACCATGTAATTCCATGCAGAACATTTCTCTTGTTGTCCTTCACTTTCCTTTCCAGCCGATATTGGGGAGCATGGCTGCTTTTGTTTCAATTTGAAACAAGACAATCCCAGTGAAAGAATTGACCGCGATCGGGCAGCAATACTTACAGCCTTGTATCGGTCTTCAATTGAACTGGACATTTGACCAATAGCAAAAAAGTAAGTTGTAAGTTACTATTATATGACAGGTGGAATGATATCGAACAAATATTTAAAAAAATACAAATAAATTTATAAAGACACAAAGTGCGTGTGTGTGTGTATAAATATTAATAGCTGGCCACTTGTATTCAAGGACACCCATCTACTAGGGCGTCTAGCCAATCCCTATTGCAGACACTCGGTCAGGCACATTTGTGTTTTCTCAACACCCACAGAGCCCAACTGTGGTTTATACTGCAACTATGCTGAGCAGACCATAGTTAAAGTTTCTGGGAAAGAGCGTGTTATCTAGCATGATCAACAATTTGAACAAGGCCAGCACACTCATGCCCTCAGCCACGATGACTTGTGGCTTTGTGCTAGCACAGATATCGATGGCCCTCAAAAGTTCTGTTTACCCAATTTCACTCACAATGCTTGGATCAACCCAGGGTATGGTTTTCAGGCACTTTCCAAAGGTGCCACACATTGGGATTGATCTCAATCTGTAACATCAGGAAATCTCCTTCCTGACAAAATGACCATGGTGAAATTCGAACCCGTGTCTGATGGTCAGAAAGCGAATGTTCTAACCACTCAGCCATGTGCACACACACACACATATATATATTAGTAAAGGTAAAATAAATCCGTGGGTATATAATCCAAATGGATCCTAGTAATATAAATAACTAAAACTGATCCACAAAAGAGAGCTCAATGCATTTTATTTATACAGATCAATATGAATGAATAATCAAAAAAAATCTTTTTACCTCATGTGGGGAATAGACTATTTTGATAAAAGTGGTCACCTGTCTTTTCAATCCTGATCTGGAATGAAGTTCATGTCCATAGAAGAAGTCAGAGTTAACTGTAAGGAGGTGATATTAGAAGCTAAAGGGTCAACTTAAAATTTAATTTGCTGAAGATACCTAATATAGTGTTCACACATTTCAATGTTTAAGTCAGAAATTGGCATTAGGAATAGGAAAGAATAAATTTAAAATTAAAATGGATTTAAAAATAAAGGCTTCAAAAGACAGACAACAACTTTCATTGTCTGCTGAAATAGCCTATTCCCCACATGAGGTAAAAAGAATTTTTTGATTATTCATTTTCATTTATATATATGCATATAAATAAAAAGAAAGAACAGTAAGATATAAAATCCGGTGTTCTTATAGATATTTTTATTTTTACAAAATAGTGCTCAATGTAAATTTACAGAGCATTAATATTATAAATTAATTGATTAATATTATAAATTAATTGATTGAGCGAAAAAAAAACATATTTTAAATTAATTAATTTATATATATATATATATATATATATATATATATTAGTTGTATATTTAGGCAGCAATCCTTCCTTTATGCATGTTTCATTAAAAACAACAGACAAAATTACTACAGTTAAGCTTTTTATTTAATTTTTCTTGTGTTCTTGTCCAGAAAAGAAAGCTCTTGTTAGAACACAAGAAAAATAAAAAGCTTAACCGTAGTACCTTGTCTGTTGTTTTTAATGAAACATGCATATATATATATATATATATATATATATACACACACACACACACACACACACACACACACACACACACACACACTGAACTGAACATAGGTGGACAATAGGTAGAACAGGGTTTGTGTTATATTAAATTTTATAACTAAATTCATTTAAATTTAATCTTTTTTTTTCTTTACAGATATTTCAGAGAATCCATAATGGCAGATAATTTAAACTGATGCAAGAAAATGGCTGTTAAAAGAATATGGGAAGTCACAAAATGATGAAACTATTAAAACAAAATGGATTGAAACATTTGGTACACAAGCCCCAAAGAGACAAACCCTTTACCACAAACAATTTATCTTGATGAAACATTTCCCATGAAATGGATTGGCCGAAGAGATCCAATTGATGACCCCACAAATTCACTGACTTTACTCCAATGGATTTTTTTCTTTTAGGGAATACTCAAGGACAAAGTTTATAGTCAAAGACTAGAAAGTGTTGGTGATTTGAAAAATTACATAAGAGATGCATTTCAAGAAATTAATACCCAAAGATGTAGTGTAAAAATGTTTGTTGAAGTGTGGAAGGTAAACTTCAAAGCTGTGTAAATTGGGATGGACACAAGTTTGTGCAACTGCGTTGACAAAATTTTCAGTGCTTTTGTGTTATGTTATTGTATATAATAACGTTTAATTGTATATGTAATAATAGCTTATCATAATTTAATTGTATTAGTATGTAATCTCAAAATAAATGTTATTTACTGTCCACCGACTTTTGGTTCATCTTGTGTATATGTGTATATATATATATATATTATGGGTGCGTGGCCGAGTGGTTACAATGTTCACTTTCTGAGCATGAGACCCAGGTTTGAATCTCACCCTTGTTGATTTGTCAGGAAGGAGACTTCCTGATGTTATTGGTCTGTAAGTGGGGAGGGGGTTGCGATCTCAGCATGCGACACTTTTGGAAAGTGCTTGAAAACCATACCACGGGTTCACCCAAGCCTTGTGAATGAAATTGAGTAGACAGAACACTAGGTGGCTGTCAATAGCTGTGCTAGCACAAAGTTACAAGTCATCGTAACTGAGGGTTTGAGTGTGCTGGCCTTGTTCAAATTGTTGATCATGCTAAATAACATGCTCTCTCCCAGAAACTGTAATTAAGGTCCGCTCAGCATAGTTGCAGTATAAACCACAGGTGGGTCTGTGGGTGTTGAACAAACACAAATGTGCCTGAGCAAGCTTCTGTAATAGGGATTGGCTAGCAAACCTAGTAGACGGGTATCCTTGAATATGAGTGGCCAACTATTTATTTTTATTTAATATATGATAAGAATATAGTTTTATGTTATGCTATATTTCTGGGTTAAAGTGCTCAATATCAGGGATAGTGTGTATGTAAATATAAAAGTGGACATTGAAGTCAACACCCAGAGGCAACAGTCTATGTCATGCTCAACGCAATGGCCTAACAATTGCATTTAGCATGAAACAAACTGTCACCTCTGGATGTTGACTTCAGTGTCCCTTTTTGATAAGTGGACGAAGTTGGGATGCTGAAGGTAACATCAATCAAGCTAAGTGACAAACCTTTTACTTATATTAATTATATATGAGAGAGAGTGAGAGAGAGAGAGAGAGATTTGTTTGTGTTGGAATGCGTCACGAAAAAATAAATGACTTCGTCTCTTTCTCTCCTGCTGTCGTAGCGACGGACACAGTCTCCACTTCTGAGACTGAAAACTGACCTCCTTCTCATTCCAGCCCTTTACATAGAGCTTGGTAACTCATCTATGCAAAACACCAACAAGCCAGCTACCAATCACAGTTCCCGCGCCTGCCCACCTCCACTCGCTTTGGGGGTTTCAAGTTGACCGATCAACTCATTACATTGTTTTTATGGATTATCCAAATTTTGCAGATTATTTAAAACCAGGAAAAAAAATTTTAGATTGAAAGAAGTTGGGAGAGATAATAAGGATTTACTGATACAAGCCTACTAATTAACTCATAGCTGAGGGGATAAGAGGTGGATTCGTACCTTTTCCAAAGGTATTAGCACATAACTGAATAACAAATCCAACTGGAATTGGCCCCCTTGATTTCTAATTCCAAACCATTATCCATCACACCACCTGCACATAAAAGCTTACACCACCTGGTATTCCAAGTGTTTGATGTTGCTTAACTTTGGTGATTATATGAAAACCATCTTTACAATGTGATTTGACCATAAGTTCTTGATAGTGAGAGATACATAGAGAGATAGAAAGAGGTAGATGGATAGAGAAACAGAGAGAGAAGGAAATCAAGAGAGCGTAGTGACTAGCAGCTTCATGCTATGCTCTGTTGATTTCTATGTCTACACTATATCTATCTCCTATATGATAAGTTTTTAGCCACCCTTAATAACAGCAATTTTGGCTTGTGTAATAACATATCTTCTTTTTTTTCAGACAATACTGTGTTAGTATCAAGCTACACTAATCTATGAACGATAGTTAACTTATATTTTGCAATGAAATTTTGCAGAGGTAAGGAAATTGGTGAATTTCAATGAGGGCAAATGATAGGATGGCATCAGTGTGGCAAGTCAAAGAGAGAAATTGCAAGGTTTTTCCAGATTAATCAATAAATGGTTAATAATATTGTCAAGAAAGTTAATGAAGAAGGCTACTGTCATGTGGAACAACATTCAGGAAGACCAAGCATTGTGTCTGAATGAACACAAAGGGTGCTGAAGATGGAAGTCATCAGAAACCATTGTCAAAGTGTCAAAGATGTCACCAACAACAGGGAAATGTCACCATATGTGGTGAGAAAGACTCTATAAGAGCTAGGCTATCAAAGAAGAGTTACAAGAAAGAAGCCCTTGATTTCAGAAGTTAACAGGAACATGCGTATGGACTGAGCAAGAAAATTTGAGAGCAAAGATTATGAATTTTGACAGTCTCTAATTTGGTCAGATGAAAGTAAATTCTGCCAATATTTGAATTTGAGATTGGTTAATGTTTGGAGAAATCAGAATGAGACTTGGAACACTGAATGTCTGTAGGCAACCATGAAACATGGAAGGATTGGAGTAATGGTGTGGGGTGATGTCTGGTTTGGAGGGAAATCTGAGCTGATTCTTCTTGATGAGTCGTTTAATGGTCCAAAATATTATCAAATATTAGAGAAAGGAATAATCCCACTATTTGAAACCGATCAGATTGACAAGAATGTCTACCTTTATCAAGAAGATGGAGCACCATGTCATACAGGAAAAGTAGCAAAGGCTTGGAAGGAATTGCAAGGAATCAAGTGATTGCCATGGGTAGCCCAAAATCCTGACATTAATCTAATAGAGCACATTTGGGAGCACCTTCATCAAAAACCTCGAGAGTATGCAATCAAAATCATGTCAGTGGCAACCCTTAAAGAAACATTGCTAAAGGAGTGACAAAATATGGCTCAGACGAATGTTGATAACTTTATCAAATCCATGAAAAATCGAATACAAGCACTGAAACTAGCAAATGGAGGACCTACTCTATACCAGTTCCAAATACTGTTTATTTATGTTGAGTAGGGATTATGTAATTAGATTTTGAAATTTGATGTAGTTTATTTCTCCTGGTTAAAAACTTTTCTTAGGCTACTGTATATACTATCCATAATATTAAGCCATCTTCTCTTGTGAATATAGCAAATTTTAAGCAACTTAAGATATCTTTTAGTATGGTACTATAACTGGTTATGAGGCATCAAATAAGTCAGATATTATTGTTATTTCCAATATAAACTAAAATAAAATAAATCTTTAATTTAAATTTAATTAAAATATTTTGACAGAAGAATCAAATTCTACATACCTCGCCATTAAAGATCGACGATCACCAAGTCCACTGAGTTCCTGTAGAATAAAAAAAAAAAATTTCATTTTCAGTGGATAAACAAGGAAGCCTTCTTCAGGTGATTGGAATTTCAAACCGAATCCTTTATTTTATCCACTTCAAGGACACATGGCCCAGTGGATAAAAGCATTGGTTGTAATCCAGTGACTTGACCCAAAGAGTTGTAAGTTCAATACCTGCAGTGGTGAACAAAAATTTGGAGAGTTAAGTTAAAGGGAGATAACTGAGACATCTGGAAGAGGCATGTCACGTGGAACTAGAACAATCTACTTTGGTGGATGAAATCAAGGGTTCAGTTCGAAATGCCAATCACCTTAAGAAGGCCGGAATGTACAACGTCCAAAACATTGCAAATATGGCAACAAAAATGAGGACAACTGTCCGAACAATATAGTATAAATAATTACAATACCTCATCTCAGAAACATCGACAGATAAACGAGGAAGCCTTTCATCAGCTCAGGTGGAGCAAGAGTATCAATCATACCAAAAGGTAAATTCATGAAATTATAATCACGTGATCAACAAGGCAAAGTCAAGTCCATATCTATGACATTTGCAGACATATTTGCAATGTTTTGCCCAAAATACGCAAAAAAGGAGTTACAAGGAAGTGTAGTGGTTAACAACATAGAAAACAGGACTGGCAAACAAAGACCAATTCCAGCTGTTCACATCACATTAATTCCGTTCGGAAAGGCATGAAAATACTTCTCCCTTGTCTCTATTCTATTTGCAGATATCTTGACAAAAGTCTTGACAACTGCTGGTATAAAGAAGAAAATTGTCAAATCAGAAATGTTTCCCTGATGCTGCCATGAAATTATTTCATAATACATAAAGAGAAGAGATAGTCACTGCAAAGTAACTGATGCTCTGAGATAGTGATTTTCCGAGCGTAGCTTGGATGTGGCACAAAGCCAAAAGTATGGGGCACCCAGTGAGGATCGAACTCACTACTCAGTTGTAATTGTTCTAGCCAGACAAGCTTGCTAACCATTACACCACCTCGAGGTGCCCAACTGATGCTCTGAGATAATTACAAAATCAAATTTCCAACATTACCAATGACCTATGTTATAGGACCAATCAACCTAAGTATATAAAATACTTGCCATTCTTGATGTTTTTTTCTTTGTTGCACTAGTCAGAGGTCAGCTCACTAACCAGTAGGGTTTTCAAAAATTAATAATAGTCTTCCTTCCACAATATATTGTTTGCACAGAACAACTGCTTTTTGCAGCAGTGCTTCAGTGCTGTAGGTGCCAGTATACTTAAGGACTTCAGTATTTGGGATGAATTTGCTTCATTGTACTTTAAGAATAGAGACAGCAAGTGTTGCAAATGTCCAAGGTGTAGTAGATGATTCAAGATTTAGCACTACAGAGAAAAGCATGATGATATTATCAGCTTTCATTTATTTGTTATAGTGTTTCTGCAAATTCTTCTACATTCAGACTCACTTGTTTAGTCTAACAAAAACTTAGTTTGCTTTTGAGAGTCTTTTGTCCACTATTTTTTCTAACTTGGAATCTAAGGATATGGCATAGTGTTTCTGATTTCATCTTCTTTGACCAAATTCTTCTGGACAATCTTAAAGATACTTAATACAAATACATCCAACAAAAAATCTTTTACATCCTCTAAAGTCAGTTTATTTTAGTCAAACTAATTCTTCACTTGTATTACTCATGATTCATTCCTCATAACTCAATTCTTTATAGACTTCTCCCTAACAAGTACAAATCACTGGGCAATGATAATATACTTCCCAAAAATGCAATTACCCACAGTACTTAAAGGGAAGAGTGAGAGCATTTGCCTTTGTCTATGATTAATACAGAGTCACTAGGGGATTTATTACGAGCGTCAATACAAAAAAAAGTTGCTCGAGATTAACAAAAAAAAAAATAAATAAAAATAAAAATAAATCTTTCAGGGGAGGTAATCAGGTCAGTCAGAAGATTTTTACCACAGAGGGGCAAGTTTTCTTTTCTCTAAAAAGATAAAAATCTCTCCTTTTCTGTGTTGGAAAATGTTACAAAACCAAAACAGTAAACTAAAATCTTTTCATGTTCTTAAATAACCTCGTCAAATCAATGTCATGCATGGCACCAAGCTCATTCAGAAATATCTAAACTGTCAGCCATATACGACTGCTTTCTAAGATCAATGGTTAAAATGGCCTTGAGCGAATGTAGCCTCTAGATCTTAGAGAGGACCATAATCCTTCAAACTTTGTGGATTAGCATTACAGAATCACAAACAAGTTACAGAAACAACATCAATTCAGGATTTTCAACAACAGCAACAACTAAAATGGATGACCCATGTATATTGGCAAGAAAATGATACAATCAAGATGTTGCTGTTCCACACTACTTTGAACAAAAAGTTAGGAAGGAAACCCCATCAATACTGGAAAGAGCAGTAACAGTTAATGGATATGAGAAACCTATTTTCCTGAAAAATTGTTTTAATAGAAAAATTTGATAAATTTAAGCTGAAAGTAACACTGGCTGCTTGGTCAATGAATGCTGAATGTTTCCTTATAAGGAAACAGAAAATGTTACCATTACTATTTCATGAAGTTGCTTATCACTTTTTATTTATTATCTTATAATTACTTATTATCTTAGTTGCTGCTATAAGAAGATGAAAGCTTAAGGAATAACATCAACACTTTTAGCACCTGATTCATTTTGTCTGGGGATGATTGGCTTCAATTAAAAATTAAATCATCTCTATCATTGGGATTGTTGAAAATTTTAATTGTTCACTCATTAAAATTTATTTTAATCATCTAAGTAAATTGGGTTGTCAGGGTGCATTCCATAAAATAATAATTCCCATTTAGAATCTATTTGGAAAAGAACATCATGGGTTTTGTTTTTCCTCATTCATTTATTTTACTATTCATTTCCTGTGAGTACATCAACACAAATCTACATAAACTGTAGCTTTCCACTCCTATAATTGAAAACATTTAGTTTTACACCAGAACATAGTATCACTAATTACTTTTTCTGTCATTTTGTTTCTAGCTAAAGACCTGATAAAAGATTTTCTCTAGTTGCTAGGTTTCTTTTTTGTTGCTTATTTTTCATCAAGTGGAAATGACTTGTACATTGAGATATACAAAAAAAATCAGCTGAAATTCCTAACCAAGTTGTATCATATGCCATCCTTGGGACTGAAATTCTATGTCTTACTATTACAACGGTATTCTCAGCATTCTTCTGTAGCACCACATTTCTGTAGCTTTAAGTTGCTTCTTTGTCTGTGAGGAGATTGTCCACCATTCATTGCCATATTGGAGGATTGATATTACATAACAACAGTTCAGCACACATTTCTTTATTTCTAATGAAATTTTCCTGTTTCTTAATACTTTGCTTAGTGCTTGGAAGCCAACTTTCACTATCCCAATATTGCTTTCGAATTTTGGTGTCGCATTTTCTGTCCTCTGTTAGAACATTTCCTAGATATTTAAATTGCTGTACCTGTTTGATTTTGGCAGCCCCAATTTGTAATTAACATATTGGCTGTCCCTTTTGCTGACAACCATATATTCTATGTTCTTGCAATTAGTCCTTTTTTCACACTTTCCTTTACTACCTTCTGTAGGAGTTCATGTAGTTTCCTTTCTGTGTCTGCTATCAACACTGTGTCATTTGCATATCTAATGTTATTAAGGTTGTTGCCGCTAGTAGGATTTCTAATTCTCTCAGGATCATCTCACTGTAAAAGTTGAATAAGTCCGATGACAAGACACATTCTGGTCTTACATGCCTTTCTATTTTTGTGTATTTACTGAATTTATTTTTTATCTGCATGCAGGTGGATAATTCTAATATCTTTCCTAAATAAATCAAGCTTACCTAGCAGTTCAAACAGTTCTTTGTGTCATGCTTTATCAGACGCTTTTGTATAATCTATAAAACATAGGTATACATCATTTTGCATTTGAAATATTGCATTCCTTATTCCAGTGTCTTTAACAAACCAACACTGTTCTTCTTCTATTTCTGGTCTAATTCTACTGCATACTCTATTCATCAGAATTTGGGGGATTTTATTATCTGGATCTTTAAACTGATTGTCCAATGGAGTTTGCATTTGTTTGCAACTGACTTCTTAGTGCAATGAAACTGGATCTATTTAGGTCTTCCAGTATAATGCCAATTTTTTTTTTAAGCATTCAACTCCAAGCAAGGCAGGAAGCCACTAGCATGCAAAGGGTTTCAGAGTAGGAGAAAGAACAAAGAGGAGTGATAGAGAAAAGGATGGAGAGACGGTTAGGGGAGAGATCAATTGGAGACATCAATTGACATTACATTTGAATAGTTGGGGATTATATTTATCAGGAAAACAAGAAATGGGGAGAGAGTTCCACAAGCGACAAGTGCGAGATATGAAGCTATTGGAGTAGAAGAGACAGCTACATTTAACAGTTTCGACAGTGAAAGGTGTGAGCGAAATGCCAGCCTAGTTGAACGCTTAAATTCATGAAGTCTGAGAACCAGCAAAAGCAGCTTATCAGAGCAGTTACCATGAAAGTATTTGTAAAAAAGACAGAGGGAGGCAATGGCACGTCTGTGAGAGAGCAGCTGCAGATGAGATGCCAGATCAGGGCCAATTACATTGCATATCTGTCTTTGGATTTTATCAAGGACCTTGAGACAATTAGAAGAGGCTCCAGACCATATATAGCAGCAATACTCCATGTAAGGGCAAATGGTTGATTTATTATGTCTGTAATTTTGTCAAAGCTGCCAGAATCTCTCTTAAAATTCCATCTAGGGAATCACTATATTATATCTTTGGAGGAGGAAAGAAGAGCTCTTAAGGAACATACTGGAGCCTAAGCATAGAAGACAGAATGAATGGTATACAGCTAAAACCAAAATTTGTGGATAAAATAAGAAACAATACTGGTTTGAGGAGTGGAAACTAATGAATATATCATGGCAGACAGAAGAATGGGGGAAACGAATCAAGGCTGTTTGTGTTTGCTTGAAACAGAATAGAAGCAAAAGAAGAAAAGCAAGAAAGTGAAACCAAGAGAACCAAGATGGATGCTTATTCCTTATGTATTTCTAGTTTTTGAAATAAGAGTGACTAAGTAAGGGGCCAAAAAGTAATGGCAGCCAAGTAAATAATTGAAAAAGTTTCAACTTACAGTATCCAAAGCAATGAAGGATGAGTTTTTCATTGCCAGTAAAACTGATGGCCAAATGCTTTGAAAATTTTCACTGTGTACATCAATGATTGGAACACTGGATTCTGAGGGTTGGGCACCAGATGCACTGCATGGTACTTCCCTGATATTCATGACTCTGTCTTTACCAGGCATCAGCGCAGTCTTAGGACGAATACTGAAACAAAGACAAAATGTTAAGTAGAAGATGATAAAGAAAATGAAACAAAAAATATTTGGGTTAAAACACTGCATAGTGAGAGACAAACTTGCCTACATCCAGGCTTTTACTTTGCAGTTGGGATACTTGTACATTTCTTATTATAGTGTTCAAATCTTGGTCAAAGCCAAGAATTTAAATATTGATTTTGTGGGATACAGTTGAGATCATAGACAAGGAACACCATTGGAAAATTTGTAAACTTAAGGAATCAGCACATAGCTTCAAGGCAGAATTTGACTATTTAATCTAATTTTCAATTTTTGATCTCCCAAATTAGTTTTAGTAAGTTTTGATATATTAGGAAGAAAAGGGGCAACATTTTTGTAATTGTTATTAACATAAGACATATTCAAACACATGCACATTATGTCTATGAAGGGTGTTGAAAAGTTCTCGGCTCGAACATAAAGAGATTCCTACAAAATTATGATGTTTGTGGAAATGAGTAGTGCAGAGATGTTTTCAGCAGTTCCCCAATGGGTGAAATATTCTAAACTGATTAATTCAATATTAATATTTTGGAATTTTAATAATAATAGTATTAATATTTTTAAAAATCCAAATACGGATGATATAATTTTATTATCACATGATTTTTTCCATAATGAGAAAACATATTACTTTGTGACCTTTAATTTATTTACTTCCGTCTCCTTTATTCCTGTTTTTTTTTTATTGTTCTCTCTCTTTAATAATGTTTTTGTTTTCTGATATTCCCTCAAAATCTTGCGTCCTAGTGACTTTCTTGCCTTGCTTGGGGTGAAATGATTTAAAAAATGCAAACATGAAATTGCAAATGAATTTAGCTAACTTTTCGTAGGAAATGAGAGAATGTTGCAAGGGAGGCAACTCTAATAGCTAATAAGTTCTGTGATAAAATATTTTCATTACTCCAGCTATCTTTCTAATCTTCAACATTGTTACTTTTAGGATTTCGGCCGATACATTCAACTTTGCTCATATGTACATATTATTATATCCAGTGAACATTACACTTTCTCTTCCCTCGGTACCACAATCCTTCTTGATGAAGAAATAAAAACTTAAAAAAGGAATTACACGATAATTTAAATAAACTAAAAAAACTAAAACAAGTTCAATAATGCTTCCATCGCGAAGTCATAAGGTAATTGTATATAGACTTACACTAAATACTTACGTAAACATTGCATTTATTTAAAGATTGTTTTTTTGTTTGTTTTTGTGTTTTTTGTTTTTTCACTTGTGACAACTCCAACGGTAAAATCTTAATTTTTCCCTCCCAAAACTCTAGTCAAGAAGCCTCATTTTGTTTTCTACGAAATCCAGGAGAACAACAAAAACGTGACAGTAAATAAAATTTGTTAACACTGAAAAGAATTCATTTTTAAACTCAACACCAATAAAAGAAAATGTTTTTCTAGATTCGCCTTAAGGCAAATACAAAAATCGGCCCTTTTCTTATAGGGAAATTAAATACATTCTACACCGGCCACTTCTGCTCTAACCGGTGCTTTATTTTTCTCCCGATCTGAATTAATCAAAAAGTAACAATAATTTAAGGTTTTCGCTAAAAGTGTTATTCAACAAATGGTGTGTTTTTTTGTTTGTTTTTTAATAAAAGATGAATAAAATAATTCGATACTTTTTATTTACTTTCGTACATTTATAAGTAAATTTTGCGAAGAAGATTTTTTCACCCTCACTTTCGGACAGAAATTACTCAAAACAATTTTTTTAAATAAATAAATGATATTGATAATGAACGATATTTGTGTGAAAAGCAAGAGAAAATCATGACAGCTTTGTGAAGTCAAACAAGAATTAACGGAAACAATTCACGACTGTAGTGTACGCCACTAAATTTAAAATTGAATCCAGGTCCTTATCATCAGTACATTAAATAAATAATTACTTTCTCTAGTTTCTTATGATTAGAAGCTAGAGAAAGTAATTATTTATTTATTGAAGATAAGGGCCTGAATTCAATTTTTAATTTAGTGGTGTACAGTAGTCGTGAATTATTTCCGTTTATTTTGAAGCGCCGTAAAAACAGGGCCTTTTCATTGCTACAAATCGACTATTCAGTCTGTAATGAAGTAACTTTTTTATGGAAAAGTAAAACCTAATTTAATTTCCCAACGTAAGTAAACATTTTTATTTTAAGATATTCAACGGAATTGTACAATAATATAGGTACTGCAGCTAAAAATAATTTTCCCATTACTAAGTTAATTACTCCAGACGACGAATTCTTAAACCAAACGATAGTTAGATGAAAAAAAGTATTCCAGATTAATATTTATTTACTTTTTTTAGAAACCACGTGGTACGAGCATATTTTATTTGGGCTTCCGTTGAGATACGATGAATTTTATATGGAAAAAAAACTGAACTGAATCCCCTAATTAACTTTTATAAGATTTAATTTTAAAAAATATTTATAATCTGAAGTGCATAATCTTCCTTCAATAACGTGAGAAAAAGGCTTCCTGGTCGCAGAATTGTACAAATCTACATAAAAAAAAAACTTAAAACAAAAACATTTTTTTAATTTTGAATATCACAATGTGCTTTGTAACTTTATTGTCTTCATTGACAAACTCTAACTTATTTTTTTAATCCAGAATAAAGTAAATGATTTTTTTAAACCTTTAACGAAAATTGGGCAAGTATTAAAAAATAATTAAAATTAAAAATAAATTAATTTTGTACGTGAGAACTATTGATGAAGTAAGAAAACTATATTCTTAGTTAAGTAACAATTTAAACAAGAACATTGTCAAAATACAAATAAAAGTGTAGATATATGTGTAAAACACAATAAACAAAATGATGCTATTTCTATCATTTTTATTTTCAGATTTTTATCGCAAGAACGATGTGGAAAAAAAATATTGAAATGTTTAATTTTTAGTCGCATTTAAACCACTTAGTTTTTTTACATTCTTTCTTCTCGTGTATCCGTTTCACTTAAACATTAGGAATTAACCAACTAATTAATAAACCTCGGAAACAAGATATCCCCCAGATAATTTGAATAAATTAAAATGAAAACAAACCGAAATTCACCGGAGTAGTCCGAGTGTTTGATATTTGAACCATAAATGTTACAAGCGGTTAAGAAGCAAATCGTCGTTATTAGACTCCGAATGCGAAAGAATGAGTATCAGGGGCGATAACTCTGTGACAACAGCATCACAGGTTATGTGCTCCGGAATACCTGGTAATCTTGGTCCTCTTACACAGAGACAGATTTTAGTGTTTGAGGCTCGGGTCGCTGAACAGGCATGTCGCTTTGACGAAATGGCCAAGTGCATGAGAAAAGTGTTAGAAATGGTTTCGGAAAACATCACACCTGAAGAAATGGAGCTTTTGTCGTCTGCCTACAAAAACAAAATCAGGGCCCGTCGAGCATCTTGGAAAATAATATCGGAACAAGTTCAAAAAGAAATCGTATCTGGCCGACTAAGATGGGCATTTCTAAACCAGAAATACCTGGAGAAAATAGAGACAGAGATTCGTGATATTTGCAATGAAATTCTAATCATTTTAGAGGAGAACCTTCGACCTAGTATAACGTCTCCTGGTTTGGTCAAAGTGTTCTTTTACAAAATGAAAGGTGATTATCACCGCTATTTGGCTGAATTTTCCACTGGCAACGTTAAACTCTCTATGATTGATAATTGCCAGTCGGCCTACAATGCAGCCCTTAGTCTAGCCTATTCTGAGTTAACTCCGATCCATCCTCTGCGCCTTAGTTTATTGCTTAATGTCGGCGTCTTTTACCACGAAATACGTGGTGACCCCGAAAATGCTACCCGGCTTGCTTGTTCTGGTTTCAGAGACGCTGTACCGATGTTTCCAGCCCTGAAAGACCAAAGTCCACAGACCCGCGAATCCTGGTCTGCTTTAGTACTTCTTAAGGATTACTATGTCCGTTGGAATGCCGACCTAAAAGACCAGGACTCCAACGGCTATGAAGATTCTTCTACTGTAGAAGATGACATTATAGAAGCCTAATGTTCACCAACTTAAAGCTTAAGTTTGTTTTTACGATCACTTACGCCCGTTTATAAAATAAGTTTTTCGTTTTTAAAAGTTTTATCTATAATTTTTTTCTCCTCCGGTTGGCGTCATTTTTTTTCCTCCATTTTAGATTTTATTTTATGCATTATCTTGTAATAGGAAGATATGACTCTTGTAAATAACTGTTTGTACTACACTACCTAAATTCCTTATGCTATTAGTAAAAAAAAAAAAAAAAAAGTCGATTGTTATACTTACCTACAAGGTGGCAGGTTTTAAACTCTTAATATTCAAGAAAGTTCTGGAACCGACAAGCTACAATATCTTGTAAAGAATGAAGCGTTTTCTTAAACATCCTTCAACTACTTGTTGAAATTAAAGGAAAAAGCTTTAATTTAAAGTTGCTCTAATGCCAATACTTCTAATCTCCGCTACAATACCTGAATTGTTGCTTCCTCTACAGAAAAGTCATTCGACAAAATTAAATGTTACTAAATGCTGATGCTTGATGGGAGAAATTTCCCATTTAGAAGTAATGGGCCTTATAACCCCCGTCTCTTAGATATTTTATTGTGTTAATAATTTCGGTATTTCACTCGTCAAAGGTTTTTCATTACGGTTTGATGTACAAGAACGTGTTTTTCTAGTCTTTTGAAAACTGGAATTTCGAAGAAATGTTCTTCATTGAACAAATTCCGGACCTGATTCTGTCGGGATGGTTGGCTTTAATTCAAAACAATCTCTGCCATTGGGATTGTTGAAAATTTTAAATTCTCTCGTTAAAACCCATTTCAATCTAAGTAAATTGTTTTTTTTTTTTTTTTTTTTTTTAATCTTAAGTGATTTTATTTCTTGGTGGGGGTGCATTCCATAAAGCAGTAATTCCAATTTAAAGTCTGTTCGGAAGAGAACAGTTTTTGTTTATTTCCTGTGAATACGTCAACACAAATCTCCATAAACTGCAACATCCCACTTTTATAATAGAAAACATTTGGCTTTACACTAAAACACAATCTCACCATTTGTTTGTAATTTTCTTGTTAAAGATCTGATAAAATATCTTCTCTAGGCAAGTTTTTTTAAATTTTGCATCTCGCGGAAATGACTTGTACAGTGTTATATATAATGTGTGTGTGGTAGCAATCCCTCTTTTTGTGCAATTTTCGTTGAAAACGACTGACACTGTGTGGTAGTTGAGTTTTTATTTTTCATGAGAAATTATATTAAAAAACCTCAAACACCACACCTTGTTTTCAACGAAATTTTTTGTATATATATATATGTGTGTGTGTACTGTGTTTTTCACCCCGACTCTTAATAGTCTTTCCTACCATTAACATGAATTCGAATATGGATGCAATCCGCTTTCCCCACTTGAAATACTGGTGCATTAAGTCTTTTTCTATCCCCTTGATATTACCTTACCTTTGCTAATTATCTCACGAATCAACAGAAGAATCCGCCAATAAGAGAAAAGTAAAGTCCTTGCATTTATTCTCTCGGCCATGAATTCAAACGTGCTTTACACTACAGAATATCGTAACCTCCTCAAACCTTTCGGTGGATATTCAGCAAATTCTGTTTAGACCAGCAAAGCTAAAAGATGAAAATTCGCTTGGAAGTTGGCAAGAAGCTCAAGATATTTAAAAAAAAAAAAAAAAAAAAAAATAATAATTTTTCTTTAAACGCCTATCACTGATCCTGACTCGGAAATATACAGACAACACGCTCATAAAAATCGGTCTCGATGGGCTTTATGTAATTCTAACGTTTGCTAAGTTTATCGAGAGTCCATTTATTTCTAATGTTATCAATATATGCTTTTAAATTCACTCGTTATATTTGTCTAAACTTAGGCATTTGTCGTTGAAGCGCCGATTTTCTTACTCAGTTTCCACAGATAAGTTATACACACGTGTATATAATCAATTTTAATGAATCATTGAAATTACAGAATTCAAGATTAGTAGCACTTGATTTATCAAGAGTAAGGTTCAACGTAAGAGCCTTCAGTTTTCTTGCTCAGCTCAAACGTTCAATAGCATTTCGAAATGCATGCTAAAATATTTTTTAGCTTTATTAAGTATGCGTTCTGGCAACTGAGTAAATCGTTAAACTTGTCCCTAGATTTATTGTAAAAAATACAATTATGGTCTAAAATAGGAGATGGGTTAAGGCTGGTCTTCACTATCTTATACCTAGCTAATCCGATTCACGACCCATTCACTCATTACAATTCGCACATTCACCATAAGAACTCGCCCGTCATCAATCAATCCTCCATATACCATAACGCCGCATACTCTCAGGGGAACCTACAAAAACGCACCCCATGGTATAAAAATCATCAAAGTTGTCCCATGGAAGAAAGGGATGCGCCTAAGGCTAATATCCGGACGTATCTGCCAAATTCTAAGATTTACGAACCATTTTTATTTGTCGAAGCTGGTTGCAGGACCGGTTCATGTTAACATTTTAAAACGATTACTTCGACCTCAGTTGGTTGCAGAATAAAGAATGAACACTGCTTTACTTTAACAAGATGACACCCATTATCATTATTAGCAAAATTGTTACGGATTACATGAACGTATTGCTCCCAAACTGGAAGATTGGCAGTGTATCCGATCTCAGTGGCTAAGCCGGTGGAAGAGGACAGCTCTAGTCGGGCTGACGTAACTAAGGCGGACCTCGACATCCGATAGCCTGATGCAACCAGATTTACCAAATCACGCCTGCTCCAATCCCGTTTGAGGCGCTTTCTGGCCGAGTGTGTGGGCTCCTCCGTCGCGCAGAGTTATCCACTAAAATCAAATGCACGCGAATAGCCTAGTCAAACTGTTTCATTCACAGCCATCTCCGTCACCAGGGGAGTGGGTAGAAAGAGAGTAGCGAGGGAGAATGACAATCCCGATGGTCGAATGCGAGCGTGTACCGATGACGGAAGTGGATCTAAAAGACCGTGGCTATGTAACTAATCTGATCTGACCGGTTTGAATTTAATTGGCGGTATATCAGGCAGCAAGTTAACGAGAATGGAAATAAAGATACGGGGCAATTTAAATGCGTATATACAAAATGCTGCGGTTAGAAATACTAACGCATGTTTTGAAAGTCTGTATGGATACTCAAGGCCGTCATATGGAAACCTCCCTCTTCATCAGTGTTATTAATTTCAGTTTCATTCGCTCATACACACACGTGTATGTTAGATAAATATATATATATATATATGAAGAAATATACTCTTAAGGTGTGCTATATTTATGGCATAAAGTGCTCAATATCAGAGAGCGTGTGTAAATATAAAGTGATCATTGAACGTGGCCTGACGATTGCATCTAGCATGAAACAGACTGTCACCTCTAAGTGTTGACTTCTATGTTCACTTTTATATTTACACACGCTATATCTCTGATATTGAGCACTTTATCCAATAAATATAGCACATCTTAAGACTATATTTCTTCATATATATATATATGGTGCGATAGGTAGATTGTCGTCATTTTATATTTTTAATTTCATGCATGCGCGTCATATTTTTTTTTATTTTGTCAACTGCACAGTATAGTATAGAATAGCTGTCAGTGTAGGTATCATTGCGCAAACTGAGCGTGTGTACGTAAATAGTTCTTGTGCGCAGTAATTGAGACAAATTTAGACAAGAAAGATCAGTTCCGAGCTTAGCTTTCCGTAGTCTTCCACGTTTAGCTTTCCGCAGCGAATGTATGCAAACAACGCGAATAATGTATGCAAACAACACGAATAATGTATGCAAACAACGCGAATAATGGCTGCCGGCAACGACGCGAATGAATCCCAAATTTCACTAATGATAACTCCAAAACGGTAGATTTAATTAAAATTATTAAGCCAGATCTGAATGGAGGATGTACAATTACACATAAATGTAAATATTCTGGAAATTCTTAATGCGAACTGAGCGCGGGTGTTACACTGCAAATTAACCATATTTTTTTCTTCAAAAATTTATTGCTGGTAATAATTTTTTACAAAAATGTATTGTTGGTATTAAAACCTATTTTTACACTTTCACAGTGTTTTGATCCCGGTTTGCCCATAGCTGGGATCCTAACAGATGCTACCACCCCGGGTCAGGGTGGACCTGGGAACACCAGCAATTAAGAGGTTGTTCCACGCTCCTCAAAACTTTCTGATCAAAGGCCTTGCTGTCGGATGTAGTTTATCGTCTTACCCAGGATGGCGGATTGCCTGGATGAATATAGCAAAGGACAGTCG